CATCAAAGAAGGGACCCAAGTCCAAGCTAGGTGGGTGGAGGCTGAGTCATAAAGGCCCCTTCCCTCTACACGAAGACTGACAAGACTGATGCTGGTCGTCCTGGTTCCAAATGGTTCTGTCCTTTATAATTGCATAATGATGGAGGGTATTTAACCCTTCCCTGCCTTTGTTTTCTCACCCAATGGCTCAAGAGTACTGTTACAAGGATTAAGATTTCCTTTTCTGAAATTGCTTTCTGAAAAGCAATATGGAGATTTCTCAAAATTAAAAATAGAAATTTTGCATGATTCAGTTATCCCCATTCTGGTTATTTAACCAAAGAAAACAAAAATACCGATTCAAAGAGATGTACTTAAATTAGCCAAGACCTGGGAACAGCCTAAATACTAACTGACTAGTGTGTAAAGATATGGAGTATATTCACAATGGACTACTACTCATCTATAAAAGAGAAACCCTGACATTTACAACGTGGACTGACGAAGAGATTATTTTGCCAAGTGAGACATGTCAAAAAAGACAAACAGCATTTCGCTCACATATGTGGCACATAGGAAACCTAACAAGCTTTACAGCTGCACAATCTTGGGCAGGTTATTTAAAACTTCTCTGCCTCTGTTTTCTTACCTAATGGTGAGAAATAAATGAGATAAATAAAAACAAACTTTTGGACTACACAGCCCAAACCAGTGATCACTAGAATAGAAGGGGGAAGGAGAATGGGTAAATCATGTGAAAGGGATCAATCGTATGCTGAAAGATAAGACTCTATGGTACACTTCATGTGTTATAAACAGACCCTAATTTATAAGCATGAACACCTAAAACTTTTTTTTTTTTAAGTTACTCTTCTGTAAATCTCTTAAAAATTTCAAAGCACCCAAATGGAAGACATGGTCAATAAATACCAGTTGTCCTAACTACTCTGCAATCCAGTGAGGAGCTCTGTAGTTTGAATCCTGCCACTGTTTTTGATCTCAAGTTTCTTCTGGAGGAGTTGAAACTTATACATTGTACACAATGAAAAAAGTTAAGCAAAGAAAAGATTTTTATTATAGATTATAATGAAGTACAATGCTCAGTATAATCAAGTGCTCTAATATGTGACATTGACAGTAAAAGAAAGGAAGACTTAGGACAGGAAGAAATGAAATTTGATTCAAGAACTCAGGAAGGGCTTCCAGGAGGAGATAAGATATTAATACTTCAAATCTAATAAATAAAATACATTCAAACTTTCAATCAAATAAAAACTTGAATACATAAAGTGTCTTATTTTCAAATAGATGGTGACCAACAAATGAAAATCTATGTTATCCCCTTGCGTGAAAGAAGTATCTTGTGTAGGATTTGTTATCTCTAAAACCTAGATGTTAAGACCTATCAGCTCCATGAGGGCAGACTAGTGTCTGGTTTATTCCCTAATGTACCTGGCACACAGAAACTATTACAGGAATCACACTTTCTGTATGAGTGAATGTATGAAATACTATGCCACACAGTTGCTACACCCTTAGCTCTTATGCAATATGATCTTTGCAGTCCTTTGCTAGAATTATCTGCTAGCATCTTCTCACTAACTTTGGCCCTAGCTCAGCTACTTTTGAAATCACATTTCATACTGATACATTCATTTCTCCCAGGTATTAAGAACTTGTCTCTTTTTTGAGTATCTGATGGATAAAGAAGGTAAATAACAACCGCAATTTCCTACAAACATTCAATGGACAAGGAACTCTGTGTGTGTATGTGTAAAGTATAATGTAGCCTATAGAACTAGCACCTGATATAATTTCAGCTTTCAAGTTAAATATGAAGTACCTAGAATAATTTATGGTAATAATATTATGTACCTACAAGAATGCATTTCAGGAGAGTTAAAAATGCTTTGCAGGTTTTATTTAATTAATCCTCATAGTTGTCTTCAGAGTTATAAGCAACAAGCACATATTATTATTAATGGAAAGTAAAAAAAAAAAAGTGGTTTAATTATAACTTTACTGTCTTTTGGTTATAACAAAAGCCCACACGCCCAATACCTAATATATTTCTGATATATTTGACACTTGTCTTCAGTTAATCAACTAAATATTGATCCCTTCAAATCCTTCTTTCAGCTACAGTTATTCTACCTAATTTTTATTTTCTGTTGTTCTTCAAAGCATTCTTTCTGTTCTAGGCAAGACGACTTCCTGGCCTAAAACATGAATGTTGTTCTTCCTCATGATCATCCAAATTGTTCACATTTACATGCTAAATACACCTCTTTTACTCTATGAATAGTATCACTGTCTTGATAAGTTTTGACTTAGTTTTAACATTTCTATTAAAGTAACAAATGTAACAGCATAGAAGGTTTTTAGTCCTGAAAATTACTTGACATTCTGAATCAAATAATTCCCTGATGTGAGATGAAGGCTTAAGTCTCAATGCAGCTGAATTTTCTTCAGCTCTTCCAGGAGCTTGATGTGAACATTACTTCTTGTATTTTTCTACTTTGCTCTTTCTGGTTCCTTTAAAGGTGGGAGGAGGAGCAAGAGGAAAAGAAGAAACAGAGAAGAGGGGAAAGAAGAGGTGGGGTGGGGAAGGGGAGTATATATATTTATTTAAAGCTCTGGACATTCTGTTGAACATACCAAAGAAAACCTTAACCTAGAATTTTATATTCTAGTTACAGTAAACTAGACTGTTATCTGCTAGAACTTTTAAACTATTACTGATATTAAAATTTCCATGTCTCAAAAAATATACTTTTGAGGACCTTTTTTCCCTCTTAGGTTCAGATTAATGAGAAAAGAAAATCTCTCTTTAAGAATAGTATTTCAGAATAAGAATCTTTCATGGTATTTTAAAAAGTTATTATGATTAGACCTTCTCTGTGGCAGAATTTTTGTAAAATGTCACTTTATTTGACTGGTCCTACCTAATAATATAAACAGACTTCACAGTAATTGTCCTAAATGTCAGAAATATGAAATTTCTGTATCTCTTCCCTTATCTCCTTACCCTGACAATTTTCTTAGGGAAATAAAAGTGCATATTTATTATATTTGTCTTAAGTTTCTCATCTGTTGGCATCTATAAACCCCTAAAACTCCTATGAACACCTCTACATTTTGGAATAAGACTGAATAACAAGTCAATTACTAAAGGAAGTCTACTGATACTAAATAAAGTGACATTACATGAACTCTCCAACTAATTTATTTGGAGTCAACACTATTGCATACAACTTAAAACTACTTCACTATTTCAGAATTTCCAGATTATTTTCAAAGTGGGCTGTTGGTGAGATGAGATATATAAAAATATGAGGAAAGTTATGACCTAATTAAAAGTGATTCTTATGAATTGAACTACTGGAAATTAGAATGGATTCTCTTTTCTAAATCATTTAGCTTTGTTTCTTCCACTTAAGAATTCTCAAAAACAGTTGCTGTTCTTCAGAAATAGAAGGTCAACCACTGTGTTGTTTCAATTGCTTGTGTCTAAAATTCAGCTGTTCTTAAAAGCAGGGAGAAAAATCATCGAAAAGAACCCATGAAGCAACCTTTTAGCAAGGGAAAAATAAAACATTCCTTTCTTTGACTAGCATTTCATCTATCTCTAAGTTTTATAGATGTTTATTTGCTTATATTTGTTTCTGAAATTTAAAAAGAATGCTAATAAATCTCAGGAAGAAAAACACCATTATAAGCTAATTTGTTAGAAAAGATTGTGCTAACTCTGACATAAGGGTGTATTCTTGGAAACCATGAGTGAGACTGTTGAAAGGTCAAGTGTGTATTATTATTCCAACTTTCACCTTTTGAAACATGTTTAGGCTACTACACCCAAGTGAGAGTTGGTCTCATATAACATATGGTAGCCACTATGTTATAAACAAACTGGTGTCAGACTTCAATTGTTTTAGGAAGTACAAACATACTGAACAATTATGTAAAGGTACAAAATCACATGTTTATATTTTTTCAGCTGAAGATTACTACAATGTAAATAACTACCAGCACATTGATTGACAAATTTTGGTTTTTGCAACTCTGAATTGAATGCAATCAAAATAAAATTAAACTACAAGTGCCAATAATTATGTTGACTACGAACATAAGCTATATGGAAAAAAAACGAAAAAAAAAAATTTTTTTTGTGATGTAACTATATTACACAGTATCTTCTAAAATCACTATTTGATTAGGATTTGGCTGTAATATGTATGACATATTCACAACTTTTTAAAAAATGAAGTAAAAAAATATATACATGTGATAAAATTGAGCAGACTGTGGTATTCTCCTAAATAACTCCTAGGGTGGGGATTGAAAAATTTCCATCTCAAGTCCATGAATGTGGTAAAATAACATGACCTGCAGGTTAATTCTTCTGGCCTTTATTAAATGGGTCTGGAAAATAGAGGAGTTTCACAAATGCAAATTATACATGTTAACTACTCCTACCTGCACAGCAAAACTATTATCTAAAAATGTTTAGCAAGGACAGTCCAGTAACTGTATAAGGGAATAAAATAACATTGAAACCAAGGTCATGGGGGCCTGGGTCCTTTTCATTTTCTACTTTTAATAATGAAACAATCTTAGAAGACCGTATTTCCTGAATTTCCGTTTCAAATTATTCACTTTCTAGAAAGACCAACAGTTTCATGCCTTTTAATTCTCATATTTTTATTAACAAGTCTAAATGAGAACGTCACAAAAGGAAGGAAAGTTACTGAGTAAAGGAATGAATCTTAAGACCCACTCTACAGGCCTATAAAACAATCATGGTACATAAATGCTAATGATCTGTATTATTGCCATGTCTTACCATTAGCCTCATGGTTACTCAAAGTCTGCACCCGCATCTGTGCTCTTTTAAGAGGATTTGATATTCAGATCCTCATTGAAAAAAAAAATCATGTTTGTTCATGAGCTATAAACAGTGAAACTGCTATCAACCCCTATCATGAGCAGAGGGGAGAGGGATGAGGGAGGAATTGCCTTACCTCTGGTGTGCCGAGAGCATGTTCCCCAGCTAAAAGCAGCATGCTCAGGCCTCCCATTTGAGTAGGATCTAAAGTCAAAAACAAATAATCAATTTACAAGCGTCCAGAGTATGAAAGCAATATTTGCAAAGATTATCAATAAAAAAAAAAATCAACAGAACTATGGAAAACATTCCAAACTCCTTAACAATGCAGCAATACCCTGGCTGCATTTATGTATTCAGTACTCACACTTCTGTGAATTGTAAACACCACTGCTGAACTACCATAACATCATAGCACTTTTGTCAATATTTTAGCCATTTGTAATAAGAATTATCTACTGATGTGATGCGTCTTTCCTTAATGCATGGGTGATGTCTGGATGGATTTTTTCTTTTTTTTTTTTTAAGGAAAAGAAAGCTTATGCTTGTCCTCCTATGAAATTTGAGATGATTACTCTCAAATTGTTAATTCTGTTATGTGAAATCTAGGCCAATAAAAAGAATCAGGCTATCCGAGGATCTGGAGAACAGAGAGAAACTTTACAGATAGATCTCTAAAGTCCAATGAGTGTCATCAAATAATGTTTCTGTCAAAACTTTTAAAACAAACATAAACAACGATGTATTTCTGGCATTTTAAATCTTAGGGGTATAATCAGTATCTTGCCTAATATAGCTAAGACTTTAATCCTTTTTACATTACTGAAGGTCTGTTTTCATTCTTTCAATAATCAACTGAAACAATAAGATGAAATAAAAGCATCAAAGTAATATATTTATAATAGTTTGTATATAAGCAAAGAAAGTATTACAGACAAGAAGCCTATATCCTTTAAGGTTGTCATAAATGAAATGGATTTCAGATATGAAGTAGATTTCAGAACTGCAATGAAAAAATGCTTAACTCGGTATTTATCCTAGCTTCTACGACTCCTCAATAATGCATTTATAATTTTAAAAACCTCCCTGCAATTAAAAATGAGGCATAGGTATAATGTAACCAGAGGACATGTAGATGTTTTTCTTATATTTTGGTTTCTAGTTTGGTATCTTTGTTTAAAGAGGTATATTTATGTGCATTTTTGTATACAATCTGTCTCAAAACTCATGTAGCAAGTCTGACCAAACCTTACATACAGTCAAATTAAAAAAAAATTTTTTTAGGAAGCTGAGGTAGTTTTTATTTTTTAAAAGAAGTTACTAGAAAGGAAAGATGTCACCCAGTGATAGGGTAGTCAAGCTTCTTAATTCGAAGTTAGAAGGCAGAGACATATGGAGATAAACTTACTGAATACCTAGGAATACTGGCTGATTTGAACAAAGTTCTTTATTGTTTTATGATTCCATCCTTACTTAAGTACTAACTTTAAAAATTTTTTGGTGATTAAAATACACATCCATTTAAAAATAAAAATCAATAGAAATATGAAATGAATGTAACAGAAAATAAAAGTCTAATTTGATTTTGGGAACAGCTAAATACTTTTGTAGTTGTCATTCTAGTTATCAGGAGGACAGGGTGGATGCTTTGTGATAAGGATAAGCATGTGCTGGTTCAAATTTTATGGTAAAATGAGAACATACTTTAACCTAATAATTTAAGTATATACCCAAAATGATTTTGCAGCAAGTTTGTATGCATATACTAAAACACAGACCAAGAAGTCACCATCCTTTATTTTAATTTATACTTATATACATTATTTTAAAATATTAAATACATACTTATATAAATAGCATGCTTTCCCATCATTGAGAGAGTCTGTACTAAATTAAATTCTATACAGTACTGCCTTCTTGATAATAATTCTTGACTCTTGGGGTGTTCAAAATAGCAAAAGGGTTATGACAAGGACTACTGCACAAACAAGAGAGATTTACCTATGCTGAGGAAAAGCTTAAACTGGCCTCTGTAACCCCTGTAATAGCCTCTGTATTCAAATAACTAAGCACTATGTTATAAGTAAAAGCCAATTAATTCGTTTTCCTTGTGTTGAAAGGGAATACAGAAATATCAAACCATGGTTCTCTACTATGCATTAGCTTAACGAGGGCTGAACATGGATCACCAAATTCAGCACAGGGCCTTATAGAATGTGATAAATTTGAGGAAAGTATTTTCCTTCTGTCCCTATATTTTACGTAAAAGAATAGAATTTTTAAAATCTGACCTGTAAATATCTCGATTTAAGTCAAGATTGTACTTTTCAATTTATAGGTTAATAAACTATCAAATGGTGCCACAAAGAGTCATCTTTCATATCTTTCTGTAGTTCTGCTAATAGTTATAGTTTGGCTGTGGATAGCAGTTGTGATGCAAAAAAAAAAAAAAAAAAAATACATATTTAAACTTACGAGGGCCCCCTTGGTGGTGCAGTGGGTTAAAGTACTATGAAGTTATCTGAAGCCACTGCAGCATGAGTTGAAGTTCAACCCCCAGCCAGGGAGCTAACACACATGGCACAGCAGACTTCTTCTGACCTACCACTGCTCCCTCAGCAGTATATTTCAGCCAATCTGCCTGTTCTGCTCACCACTCTGTCTCTGGTGAATCCTCTCACCCCTGGCACCTCTGGCCCATACCCCAGTTCTTGTATGCATAAATAAATAAATATTTAAAGAAATAACAGCAAAAAAAAAATAATTAAAATTAGGGGGAAAAGTAAAGGATAACAAACAAGACTCATAGGAACTCAAAAGAGAAGTCAATCACCTATATATTCTCTTTTGGTCTCAACATAAAATATTTCAGAAAATATTCTGATATAATCTGGGAAGTCCAGAGAATTCAGCAAGACTAGCAGCAACTGAGTTAAAAGTAACAAGGACAGATCCCTATGTCTTGACTATTCTGGAATATGCAGAAACTTCACTGGCATGGGGCAGGGGGAGTTACCTAGAATTATACTACAGTGTAGTACAAGCCATCACCTGAAGACTTTCTTTGCCCAGAATGTTGTCATTATACTAGACAATATTTCTTAGCATATGCATATGATGTCACTATTGGCTACTATATAAAAATGAAGTGCCATCATAATATTGCCCAACATCCTTTCCCAAGCTTTTCTGTTACAAATGGCTCACTGCTCAATTTTGAAGAAAACTTGTCTGAAATAATGAAACAGGAACCCTATAGCTTAATACCACTATTTCCATCCTAAATTCACCCTGGCAAATTCTTCTGCTGATTACTAAACTCCAACAGCCAGGGAAGATAGAGCCCTTGCAGGGGGGAATATAAATACTTTATTTCACGGTAATAAAGGCTTCAGCATTCCTTTACCACCCAGAGAGTATTTAAAGTCCCATAACAAATGGGACCATCTGGAACTTTAAATTGGCCTGGCACTTTCAGGAATGAAGGTGGGAGGGGGCAGGATGGGAATTCTCCCTGACACAGCTGTCACATCCATCTCAGATGGTGATGGACTTGTTATATTCTTGCCCTCCATGTTTCAGATCGTCAGATGGTCCATGTAATTGTGACTTTCAAGCATTCTTGATAACTAAAGTGCTTGCTGAGATAGCTTGTATATGCGTGTGTAAAGAAGTTGGTTACATTACAAAATTTCCTAAATTTCTGATAATCTTCACTTTGTTCTTTTTTCCCCATATTGTCAATAGAGGGATCCACATACGTGTATATTAGTCTAGTAATATATTTTTTTTCACACACATTCTGTGTATGTCATACTCTTAAGCTTTAATATATGCTTTGTTTCTGCCATTGCCTTCTATTAGTCAACAATTTTATTCCATTCTCACTTTGTACTGTTAAAAATGCTGCTTATTTATACTGCCCACCCTTAAAGAACAGGTAAATGTAACAGGTATTTAAACTCACCAGCCATTCCAAAGTTAAGTTGAGGCATTTCTTCAGTTTTTGCTTTCTTGGGGCTTGGCAAGTCTCTTGAAGAGTCCGATGGGAAGGCCCACAGTTTCTTTCGTGGATTGACATTGGGTGTTGGGGATTTCACAGGCTTGTTTGTGGTAGGACACCATTTGTAGCCAGGATTTGCTTTCATAAATGCATCTTTATACTATAAATAAAGAACAGGTAACATGGTAGATTAACACATAAATTTAAAAAGTTTTTTTTTTTTAAAGATTTATTTATTTGTACATACAGAACTGGGGTACAGGCCAGAGGCTCAGGGGTGGCGAGAGGCTTCACCGGAGACAGAGTGGGGAGCAGAACAGGCAGATCAATGAAGTACACTGCTGAGGGGAGCAGCGGGCGGGTCAGGAGAGGTCTGCCACACCATGTGGTCACCTCCGGGGCAAGCGGGAATCGAACTTATGCGGTAGTGGCTTTAGCTTCTTAGTGCAGTGCTTTAACCCGCTGCGCCACCAGGGAGGGCCAATTTAAAAAGTTTTAATAGTCTTCACCTCATCTCCCCTACCCCAATTGAAATAATGAGTGGAAAAATACTTTTTAAGAACTCCTGTGACTCTCCTCACAAAAGAATGGCAATCTCAACATGAGGGTTTAAAGACTGAAGGTGATCTCATCTACTATAAAGTTCATTTGTGGGATTATAGGACAGAAGTAGACCATTTTTTTGACCTTTAACTTTCAGTACCCAAAAAGCTTTTGACACTGGTAAAGAGAGGTACTTATTTGTAGTGGCAAAAGCCAAGGGCTCTGAAAACAAGTAAACCAAAGTTAAAACCCTAGCACACCGAAGGTATGGTGACAAGGCCGGATGTCATCCTCAGTTCCCATAAACACATAATACCACCAGTGTCTTTTTACATTATTGTAAACAGTGATGCATCTCGTGACACCTATTTCAAATTATCAGATACACATTACAAAATTGAGTCACTATCAGGACCAGTAATCAGATTCTGCTCACTGTTTGATATGTTAAGCACTGTGACAAATTAATGCTGTGCTTTTGTGAACTAGTAAAGTAGTGCAGGTAAATTTAACAGGCCAAAGTAATCAGCTATGGATAAAAAAAACCAAGATTCCGCATGAGAGACAGAGAACAAGGCAGGGCAAAATGACATATAACTCTTCAGTTATTTGAAGACACAGAGTCATGTAGAGGAGAGGAAGTTGGGATGCAGAGACTGATGAACTGAGTTCAAAATCCACTTCTGTTATTAATCCCCTTGTGGACGTGAAGCAACTTGTTTAGCCTTTGTCAGTCTCACTTACCCTGTCTATAAAGTGTGACTGCACCTGCCAGCATCCCAAGGTTTTGTAATGAGCACCATGATCACAATGTTAAAGTGCAAGAGAACTGTGATAGGGGATGTTGCCATTAATTCATCACAGACTTTACATCTGTCTTGGAGGTTTCTGCCTTTACTGGCGGTATCCTCTTCCGATGGCTTTCTTCAGTAACCCTTTCTCCCCGCTCTGCTACTTCTACCCTCTTTCACAACAATAAAATTAAAATACATTTACTGCTATTCCTTTCATATTGCCAAAAGCTAGATCATTTGGTAAAACGTACTTTTCTATGTATTCTCCATGTTATGACTGCTACTTTATTAAATTAATGTAATTCTTCAAGCCCATAAGTTTGTTCTTAAAATTGATGATTCTATGTATGAAACGATTTAATATAAACACCAAATACTTTCTGATTTAACCCAGTATGGAAAAAGGTTTCTTTTATCCTGTTGTAAGGACAATATAAGTAGTCCAAATTAAGACTTTTTACACCACTTCATTTTAAAATTATATACATAAACAATACTGTAGAAAACATAATGCAATGTTAATAGTCAATGGTTAGTACAAAGTTACCTTTACTCATTTTCTGAACAGCTTCCCACCTTCTGTTTTGCTAAAAGGTATATATTTGCATATCGATACATGTTACATATAAAAAGAAGATAAGCATAAAAAGCTAAGTCACAGTTCCACTTTTCCTACTAAGGTAGTTAAAATGAGATACAACGCTAGAGTTAAGTGAGGATTTACCATCACATAACAGAATATGAGGTATCAAATGTGACAAGCAACACACTAAACCAATGCATTCACCAACAACAGAGAATTTACATATTAAGCTGAAGCTGACAAATAGCCCTGTCTGCTGTCTGGAGGCGAGAAATGACAAATGGCTAGGTGTGGTGGAAATGGAAGTAACAGACACGTGCGTAGTGATTGTAAAAGGTACGCCAACAGGTCACACAAAGTCATGTAGACAAAGGACATTACTCTGTAAGATTTTTAAACAAGTTGATTAACATACTGTCATGCAGAAATTATTTTTTGGTAACCTGGATTTTTTTAAAGAAGTCCCCATTGTGAAAGATGCTAAACATGTCACTAGCACGCAGATTTCTTCTGTTTCTTAAGTGTCCTCCTCTCCCCTCTAACAATGATCAGCTGGATAAATCCTTTCCCCCATAATTACTCTGTTTTCAAATTGGATTGTTTACTAATCCATGATTAGCCAAGCAAAGTTATTCTTTCATTTTACATTGGCCAATGAGTCTCCCTCTGGCTCGCCATGAAAAATGGTTTTTGCAAAAGGTCTATTAAAGGGAAAGCAACCTATGAGCTGAAGAATCGAGGACAAAAGCTGAGATTATCAAGTTTTATGGAAAAAAATAAAGTGAGAATTCACTGTTGCGAGTTCACTCTATCACAATATTAATGTTCCATATTCTTAAACACCATGTAAATGTTCCATACCAAGGCAACAATCCACTAGTTCAACCAAGCCTGCATTGCACAAGAGTATTAAGAATAGGTGAAGAGAGAAAAGAATAACTCAAGTCAGTGTCCTTAAGGAATTTACAGCTTGGCCAAAGATGCCATAAATTCATGCAAAGACACAGGTGGTGTCTTTTACCCTGTTTGTCCTAGTATTTTGCCTTGTCTATGACAATGGCATTAGTATGTACCAAAAGACACATAGGAAAGGGTGAGGGCGGAGGCGCAGAGAGCCTCCGGGTGCGAGGGTGTCTATCCGTCCTTGGAACTTGGCACCTCATCAATCACTTACTCTGATTCAGCTCATCAGAGACAACAGAAAGGCTTAATCATTTGTTGTGATGAGGTTATTAGGAAAGGGATTACAGAGAAGGCTGAGGAAGGGAAAAATGAGGGAAAATTGGCTACAGTCTGATGCAAATAGCTGAGTGAAGATATTAGCATGCTGATCAGCCATGTGGGTAAAAATCCATCATCACTGGGCTGGAAGGGGCAAAGAGATAGGTTCCTCTCATATAGATTTCCAGGGTGGGGCTGTTCATTCTGGGGGTGGGAGGGGATGTTCATTACCCCCAAGAACATCAATCACAAACTACTGGTCCTATCTAACAGATAAACTAACCTCTTCCTAAAGCTATGATTTTCAAAATCTCCCGTTAAGTAAAAATTCACCTATGGTTCCTTTTCTCTTTATAAATTTTAACCAGGATATGGCAGACATGGCTCCTGACGAGGTATTCAATAATGCTGACTCTCTTCTCTTGGACTCCTGTCACCAAAGCACTTCATTAACAACAAGAAGTCAATTCTTTAGTAACAGTATTCATCATACCCTGTTTGGCCTAGTATTTTGCCTTGTATATGACAATGGCATTAGTATGTACCAAAAGATAATATTGTGTTAATCTTTTAAAACCTGTATCTCAATGTTAATAGTTCTCCAAATCATTTACAGGAATGGGAATTTGATCTAAAGCACTTTAATGCCAATGAAAGATACCAACTGTGTGGCGGGGGAGGGGAAGGGAGAGAAAAGGTGCTAATTGTCCAGTCATTTTTTTTTATTTAAAGGCTTAAAAAAATTTATTTATGCACAAAGAACTGGGGCACAGGCCAGAGGTGCAGGGGCTGTGAGAGGATTCACAAGAAACAAAGTGAGAAGCAGAATAGACAGATCGATGAAGCAAACTGCTGAGGAGAGCAACAGGAGAGACAGGAGAGGTCTGCTGTGCCAAGTGTCACCTTCGGGAGGGGGGAGTGAACTTGCATTGGCACAGCTGTAGCTAGCCTACAGTGCTGCATCCCAACCTGTTGCACCACCAAGGAGGGCCCCCAATCCTATTTCTAGCTACTGTTAAAAGTCTAAGTGAGAGGGGATGGTGTATGAGATCTACACAGTGATCTATACAAAGACCACTGATACTAGGGCAAATATATGAAAGTGTCATGAAATAAAATCTACCAGAAATGTACAGAAGAGATTACACAGGAAATTATCTGATATTTAAGATATAAAAACACATTATTTTATAACTCTGTAGGGGGTAAAGGGAGCACTAGCATAATAAATCCCAACACAGCTGTATCTCTGAATTCTGAGATAGCTATAACACTTCATAAGCAGGCAGAAATGACATTATATAAGGGTGGGACAGTAAACAAAGATATTTTAGAAGTCACACTAATTTGTATTTCCTTTTTTTTTTTAATTATTTATTTATGGATATAGAACTGGGGTACGTGCCAGGGATGCAGGGGGTGAGAGGATGCACTAGAGACAGACTGGGGAGCAGAAAAGGTGTATGTACTGAAATACACTACTGAAGGGAGCAGCGGGTAGGTCAGAAGAGGTCCACTGTGCCATGTGGGTCACCTCCCTGGCTGGGGACTGAACTCGTGCTGCAGTGGCTGTGGTACCTTCATAGTGCTGTGCTTTAACCCATTGTGCCAACAGGGAGGGTTCACTTGTTTTCTTTTTTTTTTTTAAGATTTTATTAATTTTGCATACAAGAGCTGGAGTATAGGCTAGAGGTACAGAGGGGTAAAGTGGGTTCACCAGAGACAGAGTGGGGAGCAGAAAAGGCAGATCGACGGTAATAAACTGCTATGGGGAACAGCTGAGCATGACAAGAAAGGGTCTGCTGCACCACATAGGTCAGCTCCCTTGCTGGGAATCAAACTTGTTCTGCAGTGACCGCCCATGGCTTCAGTAGTGCTGAGACTTATCCCCTGGTGCCACTTGGAGGCCCCGGTTTTAGCAATTTTCTTAACCATTTTTAAACTTTCCTCTTAACAAAATAGCGCACAGCATGGATTTGTAATGCTGTAAACCGTGCAGCCATTTTTTATCACATTCCT